TGGATATAATAATTTAATTATATTAAAATATTTGATGTAAAAATACAATAAATTAGATTATATAAAACAAAAGTTATAGTATAAAACAAGAATAAAATTCTTCGATTGATGCTTTACATTATTGAGTCAGTCATTGGTTTTTGTGATTTTGTTTCGTTCCCATGGACTAATTAGAATATTCTATATTTTGTGTATAAAGACTGTTATTGGAGGCTCATGATATAGATGTAGTAATATTAATGTTAATTATTTAGTCGGTGCCTCATCTTACAAAGTATTGTCCGTTCTATAGGGAATGTAAGCAACGACTCACACTCGTTCACCATCGCTATCAGTTGGCTGTGTGTTAGCTATTAATGATCCAGATATTAGAATTTAAATTCCCATCTAACATTTTAATTTTAGAGCTAAGTTTGTGGTTAGGATATCTGTTTATTTTTTATTTTCTATAGAATTTCTAAAAATTTGTTACAGCAATCTGCATATTTAGCAGAAGTATTTTGTTGATAGCAGTGAAGGAGTTAAGTGAAGTACAAACTGTAAGGTCAAAATTCTAATTAAATGAAAAATGTATTCACGGCATTTGTCACTGACATTAGATCTGTGATGGAGAGATGGATGTACATGATCTCTTCATAATATGTTGTGTAATGTAATGTGCATCTGAAAAGTGGTAAATACCACACATTTAAAGTATTGGTATGTATACTTCACCAGTTCAGTCACAGTTATGACATCCCTACTTTTTGGAATTGTAATAATCTAGTAACACCAAAAATGGGAAGGATTTTGTGTGACAAAAAAATCTTTCAGTGAAGGTAAGATCGCCAAAGCACCAGTTTTGATTAAGGCAGGGGCACGTATAACTTTACCTATAGAACTCCTGTATTCTGTAGTGGTATGCGGTTTGTGCAAAGGGACTAAGTCTTTAAATCTAGCCAAAAATCCAGAACATGTGATGGCCCTAAATTCTGTCATTGACCTGTTAATTGACAAATAGGTACACCTTAATAATGTAACAGTTTTTTTATTTGAATTAAATATTTAAGAATACTGTCAGGTTCCAGTACCTTTTATATCCTTTTCTGTGTCAGAACCAAGGATTATTTCTGACAAAATAACAAAACAATTTTGGTTCATTCTGTACATTCCAGCCTCTTTCCATGAGGTTATAAAATTAGGTGCTGTATCAAGATTATGGTCTGCTGGGATTTAACACCATGTAATTTGGTCGGTAGGTAAAGATGTTTTAGAGAAACTTGCTTCCTCTGTCTTCAGGGTTCCTCCAAAACATTTGTGCCTACCTACCAAACTACATGGCTTCACATCCTAGAAGACTGTAATCCCCATGTTTGCTGCCAAGAGGACCCCCAATCTCTTAAGTACTGTAAGTGTGTGCAGGTTATGTAGTACTGAATGGGAAGTAGAATGACCTATTTCAGGGAATTACCTGAAGAAACTGAGGAAACCACGAAGAACTGAATCAGGATATCTTCTTTCCATCAGAATTTAAAACTGATTACCTCACTAATATGAAGCAGGAGTGATAATCACTACTGTTGATCAGTATCATGATTTTCAGATTATTGCAAATTGAATCAGAATGGCTGGAGGTAGGAATGGTCATGGTATAATTTAGTTTGACATGTCTGTGAGGGACACTGCAAAGCTAAAGGAGAGGCCACATTGAAGGAAGTCCCATAGATGGTAGCAATGACAACTTTTAAGTTTCTCCACTCTCTTTTTTCTGTTCTATTTGCTTCCAGCCATCTCTTGCCTATGTCAATCAGCCCAAAGCACTTGTTAGCAAGTGTTGTAATATTAAAACTACCAGTTTCATGCAAACAAAATGACTGGGTGATTATTTTAAAGTAAGGAAGTCTACTACATGGGAGCTGTTACAGCTTGAGGGAGATGCAGACGGGTGCATCTGTGGTACTTCTTTCAATGGCCTCAACACAGAGTCTTTCAGATGTGAATCTAATATGTAAGATTTGAGGCTTTCACGGCGGTGACTATGAAGAAAGCAGTCTTTTGGGATTTGGCACCGTGTATATGTGGTGTTAACCGACGTTTCGGAGGAACGTATCGCCTCCATCTTCAGGGTAGAAGAAAAAAATATATAAGAAATCTGCAAGGGGAGAGACCGTGAGAACCGGTAGAAGCAGACTGTGTGGAATATATACACAGCTATGTGAGAGCAGAGAGGGAGAAGGGCAAGTATACAAGTGAAAGCAGTAGTGTGGGAGGGGTAGGGGAAGGGAGCTGGGACAAGCGTGGTTGTTGTGTAGGGGAGAGAAAGGCAAGGTTAAAGGCTGGGCACTAATCCGTAAGCTGAGGGGGGTGGGGGTGGTTGTTATGTTGGTTGGTCATGGCCTGTGTGGCCTTCTGGATCTGGCGTCATATCCCGGTGGGGGTTTTCTAAGAGAACAGATGAGAGGTTTCCAAGACTTGCTGAGACAAAACCCCCCCTCTCTGTTCATATTTCCTGGATGCAGTTCA